AACTTTTCATCTCTTCAATTAAGTCTCTTCTTTCTTCTTCTTTCACTTTCTTGCAAAATTTCCCTTTTGCTCCAGAACCTAACAAGAAAAACAAAAACAAAACATATTAGTTAAAATAAAAACAGAAATAAAATTCTACTAAAATTTGAATTATGACAATACACAAATCCAATTATAGTCCATCAAGAAGAGTCCAATACAACAAATAACGAATATGGAATAGAAAGATAACAATGAGCTTTTCAAGCTTTGGGGATGCATGGATAAAAAACCAATCCGTGTACAACATACTATTCCAAAGAGGCTTACCAAATACCACACTCAACAAGTATTCTTCTTCTCTCTATACCCAATTAAGCAGAAAATAATCAAACTCAACAATAAAGTTTCTTCTACTTTATGAAACACCAGAGATTGTACACAACAATAAGTCATCAAGAAGAAATTCTTGGATCGCCAATGTCATAGTCATCATCATAATAAAGCTGCAAGTCAAAATCTCTCATCAAATTGGGATAAATCTCACCAAGCGTGCTGAGTGTGTTTCCAAGAAGAACTGGAGACCAAATCATTGTTGATCATCTGGCAAAACTAACTACTTTACTGACCTTGCTGCTGTTGCAACTCTCACCCTCTTTGTACTGTTTTTGCAATGATGATCAAAACCAACCACTAGCCACTTTTTAAAGCTCCCCCGACTTGATATATTTCAAAGTCCAAGCCCCATGCAGTTCATGTATCAGTTCATGAAGAAATAAAGAAATCCTAAAGAAATCCTAAAGAAATAAAAATTTGAAATGGTTAGTTAACATGATTGAGTATGGCATAAATTAGTCTAATAATAAGTCCACCTACAACTAATAACTTGATTTTAACTTTCAAATTTGGCACATATTAAAGGATTAAAATGTGACAGTGCACCTTGAAATGATTTTCACGTAATGCTGCCTCGAAACATTACTCCATCCCCTTTCATATATATCCTCAAATTGTCCTTGATTAAGGGAATTGATTAGGGGCAGTTATAAGAAAAACTCAAAGAAAATTCATGTCCTGCATAAGTGAATTAAAACTTAGCATTATCTTGATGAAATGATAGAGAATCTCTCTTAACGACTAAGGGATGAGAAGATGAAGCTTGCCTTATAGAGAGGGCATTCTTTGGAAGGTAGAAGCTTGTAGCTGCAACTATGAGTCTATGATGGATCCTGTGAGCACCACCATTTTTCATCAAGTTGTTAGATCTTGAAGCTACTTTGCAAGTCAATCCATTGCTAAGTAAAGCAGTAGTTAAAGCAATTGTGTTTGTGCCATAATCTTGGTTGTGACTTGAGATGAATAAAGAGGGAACACAATGCACATTGCTGGATCATTCATTTCTGACTCATCATACATACCAGAAGCTTTACCTCTTCCATGAAACGTAGCATTGATATCAAGGCATCCAACTCTTACTTGTTGAAAAAATAACTTGCCTAAAAAGGGAGGCATGAACCTGGAATCTTGGATCAATCACCTTTTAATTAATCCTTTAGTTGACTTGAAAATGGCAAAGGGTTTAATCAGATGCTGTAAGATAAAAACAAGACAAGAACTAATTATAAGTTGGGCGTTACACAGTTGCAAGGAATAATACACTAAAATTATGGGAAATGTGATGATGAATAAGAACAAGATGGGGGAGGGGCAAATAAGGGAACATGTGGATAGGATTGTTTAATTCAACAATGGTGATATTCGTTTTCCAGTTCTAGCTAGCAGAAAAATCTAATTTGTACAAAGGCCAATCCAGATGAAAAAACACCAAAAAACATGTGCCAGGAAAGGAAGGTACCATTGAGACTATCCTTCTAAATCAAAATTCAATTCTTCAAAATGGAAAACATGAGGCTCTACAGTAATGAATTCAAAATTCAAATCGGTTGGCTTGCCTAAGAACCTCATTCATGGTTGTGGCTTAATGAATATATTTATGAATTCCCGTAATACAAAGGCCAACCACTCATCCCCTTTCAAATATTCTGAAAAGCATGAGCCATTTTTGAGGCAATTGAATGCATGTTTTCAGAGCAAAATAAATAGAGTATAATGTTTTGGGCAATGTACATGGGACTTCACTTCATCGTATCATCCATGAGAATAAAAATAAAAATAAATCCAAAGAATGAATGAAGTACTAGTAACATTGAGGAGTGGTTTGGCTTTATTTACCTCAACAATTGAGGAAAAAAATACCTTGCAAAAAGGATTTGCAATGCATATATATATAAGAAAAGGCAACACAAGTCAAAGAAAAGTGTTATCTATTATAATTTTTCTACATTCTCACATGGAAAGCATAAAATAGTGATGCCTGTTTCAATTCACATTAAGCTCTTATTACTTTTTAGCTCATTGTCATATATCGCAAGGCAGGGGATGCCATGGGTGAGAGTCCAGTAATCTCCTTTCCCCTCAAAGCCTTGTCGTTGTAGATGTGGATACCCACCGACATGTGGTTCTCCAAGCGAGGGAGGGAAGGCTTCCCTTGGCAAAGATTGTAGTTTCAGGTACTCAACTATCCATAAGTTCTCAAGGGAGCTTAGGTTTTGGAAGAGCCCCCCTACGTATGGATTCCAAATTTTCTTCATTCCAGGTTTGAAAAGAGGTTAAAAAAGAAGGCAACACAATATCCAGAGAGAATTCTTGCTCAATTGTCAAGAATTCAAGAGATGTAAGATCTTGGAGGCCCATTGTCAAAACCCCACTTGGGAAAAGTAGATTCTGAAGGGATGTGAACTGGTACATTGTATTTGGCATGCACTTGAGATTCTTACATTCCTTTAATTGAAGATCTTTCAAGTTTGGGGGGCAAACCCCCATCTAGAATGAACCTGATGCCGAGGCAGTTTTCCATCAATAACCTTTGAAGAGAATTTAGCTGATATATCGTATTTGGTAGGGATTTGAAATTCTCACACCATCCCATCCTCAAATCCTTCAGATTGAAGGTGTATAACCCCAACTCTTCTGATAATGACTCTAGGCTTATGATTGGATAGAAATTAGTAAAGGAAAGGAAGAGAAGGGAAGGGCAAAGAAAGGAAGGAAAAGTGAAGGAAAGGAAAAAGTTAATATTAATTTTGTTTGAATAAGTAAAAGTAACAAAAAGAAAATGATAATATTTTTATTTAATTAAATAATTTAATAAAAAATAAAACAAATAAAAATAAAATTTTTAAAATAAAATACATATATATGTATTTTAAAACAATTAAAAAAATTAAGTAATGCAATTTTTATCAACCTCTTCAAATCAAAAGAATTAAAAACAAAGAAAAAAAAGGTATCCAGACTCCCCCCATCTCCATTAAAAGTTTTTATCCAAACAATTAAAACTACTTTCTTTCCCTCCAACTTTCCTTATCCAAATAGACTACAAAGCTTCACAGTAGTAAATATATAATTCAACGAGATTGTTGACGCCATCAAGAGTTGGTAAACTTTACAATATTTTACAATCTCCAATTTCAATGGATTGGAGTCCACATACAATATTGTGACATCTTCTCTAAAAATTATTCCAACCAACCAAAAGCCACCGTCAACTATTGTAAATTTCTTAAGAAAAGCTAGTAACTAATGGCAAGTCTCAGAAGAATACAAACATGGAACATTCTTTATTTCCAAATGTAGATTCCTATTATTGTTACCCTTTGCATCCGGTAAAAACCCAAATTTCCAACCTTTCCAGTCTCGACATCAACATACTAATGTTGCTGCTACTGCTTCCATCCATCCTCATCATCATTGCATCGAGTAATGACTCCAACACTCCATATCTCACAGGCTAAGATCTTTAAGATTGAAAGGCAAAAGGCTTTTGTTTTATTTCTGCCCCTTTCTCCCACAAACAAGATCGATCATTGCAATCTCCAATATATAAAGTTTCAAGTGTTGTCGAGAACTGAGTAAAACTCTCAAGCAAGCAAGTCAATTTTGAAATTTCCCCAATTTTCAAATTAGTAACCGAGAAGCGATTACCCATACTTTTCAAAAGCATTGCATTACAGCCTCTAACATCCAACTCTTTAAGTGACTAACATCTAACTCTTTAAGTGAAGAAAGGTTATTGGGTATTTGACCTAACAACTTGGGACAATTTTCAATCACAAGCCTTTGAAGAAAAGGGAATTCACCTTCAATTCCAGTTGGACAAGTCCATTCCTTCCAATTTAACATGTTTCAAACACCAACCCCTCAAGTGATGGAAAACAGTATTGTCCCCCATAAACTCAAAACCTATAGCTTTCATTGCCTCCATGCCTTTAGTAATCAATTTTTTGAGAACAGGTAGTAGGCCAAGTGTATCTCTTACAACTGCTGAGCTCTATGGATGATGAATTCAAAAATAATAATGCGTTTGTGTTTGGGAAACTCTTACCATCGTAGCAAGAAATTGAGACTTTTTAAATTTGAATGAGGTTTTAATCAGTTGAGGACTTGCATTCCAATGACTAATTTATCTTAATCATTATTACTAGCTCACTCCAACACTAACTTTTCTAAACCATGGATCTTGCCTAGGTTGGCCTCCTTAACATCTTGAACATCCAAAACATTCTGCAAATCTACAATAAACAATCTTCCTTGAGAAATGATTCCAAACACAATCCACCATCAACAATCATAAATTTCGTGAAAAAAATTGGGTGACTGATGACAACCCTCAGAAGAATAAAAACATGGAACATTCCTTATTTACAAATGTAGATTGCTATTACTATCACCATCCGCATCCAGTAGAGACCCCAAACCTGTTTGGTATGCTATTCTCAAGTACTTAAGCCTCTTGGAAAAGACTTGAGAGAATAACAACCCCAAATTTCCAACTTTTCCAATCCCGACATCAACATGCTAGCGTTGCTACTGCTGCTTCCATCCATCCTCATCATCATTGCATTTGCATTTGGTATTGACTCCAAAGCTCCACATCTCACAAGCTAAGATGTTTAAGATTGAAAGGTAAGAGACTTTTGTTCTATTTCTTCTCCTTTCTCCCACATACAAGTAAGATTATTGCAATCTCCAACATAAAGAGTCTTAAGTGTTGCCAAGAACTATATAAAACACTCAGGCAACTAAGTCAATCCTGAAATTTTCTCAATTTTCAAACTAGCAAGTAAGATGCAATCACCCATACTCTTCAAAACCATCACATTACAACCTCTAACATCCAACTCTTTAAGTGAAGAAAGTTTGTTGGGTAATTGGCCTAACTTTGGACAATTTTTAATCACGAGCCTACGAAGAAAAGGGAATTCACCTTCGCTCCCCGTTGGAGACGTCCATTCCTTCCAATTTAACATATTTTCAAACACAAGTTCCTCTAGCGATGGAAAACAATCTTGCCCACCATAAAACTCAGAACCTATAGCTTTTATTGCCCACATGCCTTTAATAATCAATTTTTCAAGAACAGGTAGTAGGCCAAGTGATGGTAACAAAGTGCATCTTTTACAATTGCTGAGCTCCATAGATGATAAATTCAAAAATAATAATGGATCACAAACCCAGTTTGGGAAAGTCTTGCCACCATAGCAAGAAATTTTGAAGCTTTTCAAATTTGAATGAGGTTTTAACCAGTTGAGGACTTGTATTTCGGGGACTAATTCATCTCGATCATTATTAGAAGTAGTCCACTCCAAGACTAACTTTTCTAAACCATGGATCTTGTCTAGGTCAGCCTCCTTAGCATCTTGAACATCTAAAACATTCTTCAGATTTACAATAGACAATCTTCCTTGAAGTTGTGACAAGTACTTCAAATCGGACAACCTCATCATCCCACTTGCCTCTCCCACGATAAATGTGGATAGTTTCACAAGATTTTTAAGATTGCTTATTCCTAATGGCATCCCTTTTAAAGATGGTGTATCAGTGATATCAAGATAGTAGAGATCAATTAGATTCCCAATAGTTGTAGGGAACTTAGCAAGCTCTCCACAACCAGATAATAACAATGTTTGCAAAAAGAGAAGAGAACCCACTGATTCAGGTATACAGTTAATTCTTGTACCAGACAAATCAATGTATCGAATATATTTCAAATTTTCAAAACAATCTGGTAGCTTGCTTATTTTATATCCGCAAAGAGACAACACTCTTAAGCATTTCAAAGATGGCAAGAAATCATGCAAGATTTGATTAGATAAATCAAAGTGACACTTTGGAGTGAATGACCAATGACGAGCCTTCTTTAATTTTTCATCACCCATGCTAAGTTCAAGATTGTAATATATTTCTCCAGCAATATCTACGGCTAAATCTTTTAAGAGGTCATGCATTATAAACTGCGATTGAACTCCACTTGATTGTTGAAAAAGTGACCTTGATAACAACTCCTTGAAATATTGATGACCAATCTCCTCTTCCAGTTGCTTCTTTTCATGTGACTGTTGTTGTAACAGGCCCTCAGCCATCCATAATAAAACCAACTTCTCTTTATCAACTTCATAGCCTTTAGGGAACAAGGCACAATAAGCAAAGCATCGCTTCAAGTGAACAGGAAGACAATTGTAACTCAATCTCAAAGTAGGAAAAATTCCTCTATTATCGTTTGATGATCTCCATATCTCACTATTTAATACATTTTCCCACTCTTCACGATACAATTTTCCTTGCAAAACGCCACCGAGTGTTTTTAATGCCAGTGGCAATCTGTTGCACCTCTTAACAAGCTTCTCACCAACATCTTGTAGCTTTGGGTGAACATCAAAGTTCCCTATCCCCAGTGCAGATTGTGTAAATAATGGCCAACAAGCATCATCTTGTAGCAATTCTAAATTGTAAACTCCATCATCTCCTCTCATCATTTTTCCAACATTCATATTTCGAGTTGTGACAATTATTTTGCTTCCAAGAGCACCTGACATAAAAGGTCTCTTCAAAACATCCCACTGGCCATATTCCATATCCCAAACATCATCTAATACAAGAAGAAACTTGTGCCCAGATAACTCCACTTTCAATTTCTCTTGTAGCAAAGCAAAATTTTCCAATTCATGCCTTTCCTTAGTAACAACTTCTAAAATCCATTCTGTTATTTGAGCAACATCAAACATATTAAAAACACAAACCCATGCCTTCAAGTCAAACCTGCCATTTAGTTTTTCATCATTATAAATGAGTCGAGCAAGAGTTGTCTTGCCTAGTCCACCCATTCCAACAATGGGAATAACAAAGTCTTGTTCAAGAGTACCCCCATCTTCTAGCAACCTATCAAGAATAGCTCTTTTATCACTATCTCGACCACACATCGGATCTCTAAGAAATTCAGACTCATATCTAAAAGCATCTTTTCTGCTAGAAATGTCAGCTCCCATGGCCAAATCAGAAAGGCCAAAAATAGACATCTCCCGTACAATACGTTGTAAGATAACATTCAGATGATTCACCATGGAATTGCTTTGTCCATTGGGCTTAGCCTGAGATCTAAATAAACTCTTAAGACTGGATTTGACTTTCTGCCCCTTACTAGTGCTGGCTTTAGATTTTGCAATCAATTTAGACCTCGTGGCATCAATCGCAAACTCTTCAAGTAAGTCCTCCATATCATAAGCTAAGTTCCTGAGATCATCAAAACATGACTCCACGAACTGCTTGTTGACTTGATTGTCTTCTACATATTTAAGTACAGTAATGATTTTGAGCAAAAGAGTCTTCCAGCTCTCCACTTGCACACGTACCTCCTCCTTTGAATTCCGTAGTTGACCACTTAGATATCCATCCAACTTTTTGAGTAGCAAGTCAAATGTAGCAAATAAAAGAGAACCTCCAACAAGAGATAAGACCTCCATTGGATAAGAAAGGTTTTCTACAAAAAAAAGATAGAAAAATGGATGGAAGTATAAATTGGATTAATCTATTGAATACCCCACATTCATTTGACTATCATCAAATTAGTATTTTATCCTAATGGATTGATTTAATTAGTTTCATGTGTTGGTATTGAAAATAGCCAAGATAATATAAAGAAAAAAAAATCAAAATATATACCATAGATTTTGATTTAGACCTTAAAAGAATTGAAGTAAAGATATTGATTAGACAGTATTTTTATATATACACATTCCTTAATTAGCTATGTTGTAACTGCTTTTCCTTTCTCAATGTGCTTAAAGCTAAAAGTTGTTGGGTTTTGTAGAGAGACTAATTAAAGCTTAATTTGATAGAATATTGAGAAATTTGTGTCCAAAAATAAAAATTTTAATAGAAAGAGAATCAAACAACAATTTTAATAATTATTATATTAATTAGATACGGACTTTAACTAAGAATAATTAGTAAAAAGTTCTAAAATAAAAATATATTTAAATAGTATTTAATTAAAACACCTAACATTCTCTATCTGATTTGGTCAAATATAATGGTATATATAGAGATTGTTCAATGTCAAAAGGAAAAAATAATAATAACACTCATGGAAATAATGATCTCGAGATATATCTATCAAAACGCCTGATATTATCTCTCTAGTTTGATCAGTATAATGGTATATTTCATGCTTAGTCAACGTAAATAAGAAATAATAACATACCCAGAAGTAATATCCGAAGAAATATATTCATCACAAGATTGCAAAAAGCCAAAGAAAGCATATACTGAAATAAAATTTGAGTAAAGAATTTAACCATCTATTAGTTATGGATACTTTTTGGAAAATAGCTACAAGGATGGAAGAGTAGCACAAGAAGAGGATGGGAAAAAGAGACTGTGCGTGGTAGAAGGAGAAAGATGAAGTTCTAAGACAATATTTAGGTTGATATGGTATGAAAAATGACTAATTTGAATGCGATGTTAAAAAAGAGTTAGTCATTGAGTGCATTCCCCTCAATTCCCTCCTTCCTTGGCATGTCTCGAATTTGTCCCATGTTAAAATGTTAAAAAAAAGTCAAAAAAAAATCACATATCCACTACTGCATTACATACTGATAGTGTAAATTAATTATTATTAAATAAAATTTAATATTAATATAATTTTAAAGCCTCAAGTTCAAAATTATTCTTAATTCTTAATAAGGTGATATAAGATTAATATTTTTATTTTATTAAAAATAAAATAAATAAAAATAAAATAATTCTAAATTTTTACCAACAAAATAAAAAATAACTATCATTTTGAAATACGAAAAGGATAAAACATTAAACAAACATTTTATCTGAAAATATAACAAAATTTGAACTTATTGGAAATCAGATTTCCTAATTACATCTGCCGATACTTTCCAATATTGAAGTGATACTGATATGTTTTTTTTCAATAGGGTTATGATGGTCATTGCAAGGACAGAATATAAGACACAATAAAGGGGTTGATACCATCAAGATACGGTTTGCTTTATAAAATGTGGGTCCGACAAATAATCAACACCCGATTTGCTTTAAATGAATGTCCAAAAAATGACCCTACA